GCGGCTCCGCTGGGCTGCCGCCCCCGCGGGTGAGGGAACCTGGTGCCTCTCGCTCCTCGTCTCCCTCACCACTTTTTCTCACTGCCCTCCTCTTTTGTCATTTTGGTCTTTAACCTGAATTTTGGTGAGGGATTTCGAGAGTGGTGGTGGTGGGTTTTTTTTTTTTTTCCTCTCATTTAAATTTGGTATATTATGAAATTAAAGGAAAAAAAATTCTGGATAATGCTGCTGACTACAGGCTTGGCAGCATGTAATAAGATGTAATTTGGTGAGGGGAACTTGCACGATGGATTGATATCTTCAATTAGGCTGAGGAGTAGCACTTTCTAGAAATAGACACAAAGCAGACCTGTGCTTGATACTAATTTACTCAAAGTGTTTTGGAAACAGGAAGGTGTATGTGGGCAAGGAGAGGGAGAAGGAGAGAAAGATCTTGGAACGCATATCCATTCAGCGCTGGTAGCGCAGGTGGTAAAGCAATAGCTATTCCTGAAAATGATACCCTAAATTAAAACGACTCTCAGTTATGTCCCTTGTTACTGCTTGGCTATATCCTTAAGCCTTCAGAACTTAAAATTGTGTCCCAGTGGTTTTGTGTGCTGCTCTGTTCTCTGCTGCCTCTTGGTACCTTTTACATGCCGTACAGCCTCTGGATTGTTTATGCTGCAGTAGCTCGCCTGCTTCTCTGCTATTGAGCCCTGTTTTGTATCTTTGAGTCTTTTTTTTGCAGCTAACACTGGAATTTCTATTTTTCCTATTTATATTCATAGTTAATGTTGCTAACTCTTTAAAATTATGTTGGTTTTTTTTTTTAATGTTGAGTGTTTTTGTTTCCCTTTAAGAAAATCCTGATTTAGGCTTTAGGACTTGTAAACAAAACCAAACAAAGATTATGCGCACATATAGGTTTTTTTTTAAAGCCTGGGTAGAGGCTTCAAAACCATCATGTTTCTATGTGTTTTGGGAAATAGTGGCTGGGTAAAGGAGAGACTTCTACTAGTGGCTGCACTAGGGAGCAGGTTAGAAGTGAGTTAACAAGTCTGTCTAGTTGGATAGCTAACTAATCATCTTTTAACCCAGTCTTGTAATCAGGGTGTCATATGGGACATGAAGGGAGCTGAAGTTGGAGAGTATTTGGAGGGCTTTGCCACTTATCTGAATTCAGGTTTTGGTGACTGCTTATGGAACAATTCAGTTTGATGCTTTCTCGGAACAGCATTTTTTTTAACATCTGTCTGGAGCAAGCAAAAGTCGCAAGATTTCTTTCATGTTCCTACCATTGCAATTTGCTCTTTAGACTTTAACCTAAAAACTTGTATCGTTTAGCAAGCAGGTCTGCTTTCTGCTTTCCCATGGGTTTTAAAGAAACTCATGGGACATGGTTTAGTGGTGGACATGGCAGTGTTAGGTTAACGGTTGGACTCGATGATCTTAAAGGTCTTTTCCAACCTAAATGATTCTATGAAAGCTGGTATCTGTTCCTTCAAAGATGTAATGAAGACTAGCTTTTGCTGTAATATCTACGGAATAATAATTAACTGGATGAATGACAGATAATGCCATGTGTTTCTGAAGATGGTTGTGTGTTCTTATTGCACGTTTCCATTCTTACTTGCCTTGAACCAAGGTGGCAAGATCTCGAAGGCAGGGACTTTTAAACACTTAAACATCTGTGTAATAGATCCCAACATTCAGGAAGGGTCTTTGGTAGTACTGCAGTGTTTTGGCAATGTTGATATAACTGCATTTGGAGATAGTCCTACTTCCTGTAACTGACAGCATTTGCTGCACTACCAGCAAGCATGTGCATCTTTGCTTAAAGATGAGCACTATTAAATAATCCACTGAATACATCAGCAGAACAATGCAAGTACTGTAGAAGATGAAAGCTACAGTTAGTTTTCCCCTCTTGTTTGCATGTGATCTTTCTGCATAGGAAAGGAAAGCACCAGAAAACATGCATGGGTAAAGTTCCTGGTTTAGAGGTGGCATTTTTACTTCTACACAGAGTAGAGGACTTAACTCAAAGTTCTTCAACATATAGTCTTTTGACACTAATAGACACTTTAATCACACTCTAGGAACAGAGCTAAACAAATATTTAATGTAACAGTTGTAGCCACAGTGGTTTAGGGGTATAAGAAAAATATAGGTAATAGGATAACATAAATATATTTTACTAGGCTGACTAATTCACTTGGAGGAGAAAAGCCAGGCAAGTTCTTGGGCACTTTTGCTGCCCTTTACACCTCCTTAGATAAACAGAGGCAATATTTCAGTAGATTCCAGGGATAGGAAAAGTGTACTTTTTGTTCAATAACTAAAAAGTATTTTCATACTTTCTCAAAGCTTGCATTTGGCTCCATTTAGAAACTGAACAAATAGCATAACACAGCAAATCCAGTATTCCAAGACTGGATGCTATTATTTCTCTTCAGTATCAATAAATATTGTTGGGTGTATTACACATGAAATCCATGGATAACTGGTACTGCCACTTCATCCATTTATAACATATACTGCTCTTTTAGTCTCTGTCCCTTGGCTTCTTATTTAGTGGGTCTGTATGAGGGGTTGAAGTTACTCTACTACACTTTATTTAAAGGTGGTTCTGTATCTTCCTGATCTCTGCATACATGTTCTCCCTGTTCTTTCTTCCCTGTCTCTAACCGCCTCTCCTGTATGGCTTTTCTAGATCTCAAATGTGCTACCATATAGCCACTGCAGTTAAAAGCTCAGTTCCTGTTAAGTGCATATATAACACCATGTTGTTATTTTAGGTCTTTGCTGTCTTGTCAGATTTTGAACGCACCTCACACAGAGAAATAAATGGCAAATGCTTTCTTTAAAAGTAACCATGCAGCAGATCAAGCCAAAATAAGACTCTGAATACTTGCTTACGGTTGAACCTTGGCATGAGTAGAAAGATTAGTTGTAAATCATGATAATACACAGGTGATCATGCCCTTAGTGTATTTTTTATCTGTACATGTCATAATAAGCTGACACATTTGGAAGTGCTTGCCCGTAGTCCAAAAGCAGTCTTGGAGCTTTTTTGTACTGTTTTATTATTAACTAGGAATAGTTTTATTGATTTAATGAAAACTGTATTTCTGGGATGTCAAGAGAATGAGGCAAGCTTATAGGGTATACTGATACTCATTTACTTTTCAATGTCTAACCATTCCATTTTTGATACGCAGGAACTTCTTCAGGATGGAGAGCTACATTTCCTGCCTTTGCTGGATTCTTGGGATCATTTGAGACCCTCATCCACATTATCTTTTTGACAAGGCATATCCTTTCTTCAGGAGAGGTTTTCTCCATATAGTACGCATTGAACCTTGAACAGTGTTAAGTGGCACACCAGAAATGTAAGTTCGACATGTGTTGATCAGAGTTAAGATCAAATTTATGCCGAAAATAATTTTTTTTGTTTTTGGTCTACTACATTTGGCAAGCTATCACTGTAAAAAGAATAATGAATCTTTTACATTGGTAAGGAAAATATAAATATTGTTTTTAAACAAAAAAAATCCATCTGGGAATAGTTAGCAATTACAGTTGTAATGAGAGATCGCAGTATTACTAAACCTGAGGTAAATTTCTTTTGGTCGTCTTGGTGCTTCAGGTTTTGGAGAAGCTGACTTCATCCATACTTTGAGGGAATGGGTGCAGTTCAAGGAGAGATCTTTAAGGATATTCTCACCCATAAAGAGGAGTTTTGGAATATTGAGTTCCTGTAGCCCCCTCTACTCTATTTATCAAAGGCAAAACTGCAATATGTATCAAAATCTTCCTTATGAAGAGACAAGGTTTTTTTCCCCTATGAAGTAAATAAGTATCATCTTTAGAATGGCACCTGAACAGTCTTTGCTACAGTAATCACCTATGTAATTTTTAGCCACATAATCTCCAAAAGATGGGACAGTTTACAAAGCCAGTCTCAGATCAGCCTAAGATTTTTCCCTATGCACTTTAGGGAGAAACAGATATTAAAGGAAGTTTCAAACGAGCACTGAAATTAGAATTTATTCAATGTACTTCTTTTTTTTAAGAAAAATGAAGGGAAGTTTCCTTTTTATTTAATTAATTAATTAGTTGTTTTTCAGATAGCACTAATTTAGCATGCTGTTTCTAGCTTTCATAGTTTTTCTTCTGTATAGGTCTTGCTTACAGCCCTATTTGGGGATGCTTGCTTATACTTTTCTTAGACCACTGAAAATATTTCATTTTGTAAATGAAGGAAGGAACCATTTTCAGAACTTAGTGCTTTTTTTGCTTTTCTGCAAAGATATTATGAAGTCATGTGTTGAATGTCTCACAAGACTCCAGGAGTTGTTAAAGTGATGCTAAGACCTTTTGATAGTGGTAATGTGGTGCTTTTGCCAGACTAAATCTTGGAATTTACACAAAAAACCCCGGTGTTTTGAACCTACTAAAACAACACTTCTATATAGACAAGAGCAGACTTAATATTCTTGGTGGACCATTTCTAATACAGGAAGAACATGAAATATGCCTATTTCTGCTGTATAAGCAAGCTCTGTAAACATTAAAATCTTTCTGGTTTATGGTCTCTGCTTGGGAAAAACTAAGAGTCTGCTGCTTTTAAAGGGAGGCAAACTTGTGACAACTAGTGCTCTAAAAATAAATTGTGAGGCTTCCTGGAAGTGGTGCCAGGTTTTTTTTTTAGATAGTGGAATTAGAGGTGGATGAACTTACTTTATCCCATTCAATTACATCTCTATCAATAATTCGTCTGAAATAGATCTAATATCTCTGGGCAACTTTTCATTGACTTGTTATACCTGAGTACAAAAGGAACAAAGACCAACAATTCACTGTAAAAATAAACCTAGTCTTTCTTTGAACCTATTTAATCTGTCCAGAGTGTGTTACCTTCCCTGTTTCTGGGCCCAGCTTCACAATAATTGGGAAGTCAAATTCCCTGGATATGCACTTAATTCACCACAGTTTTTAATATTAAAATTCTCCTGTTCATTAGATGCATGGAACGTTGATTAACATGGGAAAAGCTGTGATCAGTGTGTTTCACGAAAATGTAAGAGATTTTTGTTGTAGGTGAAAAAAGAAATAATCAACAGTTTTTCTTCAGTTTATTTTAGCATGCTTGCTCTGCTAAGATTGCCTAGATTCTTATCTCTCGGCTATATCCATGTATTATATTTCAGTTGATAATAAACTGATATAGCATTGAGGATTTGCCATAAGTTCCTTAAAGAGTCTTTAAACCTCTAAATCCACATCCTTTTAGAAATTTAAGAATAGGTGTCACTCGTCTTTGGCAATAGCCCTTTGAACAAAGGAGCATGTGAATTCTTTTCTGCTTACCCACTGTGAAAACTAATTGCTGTAACCTGTGGGAAAGAGCCTAGATTAACATTGTGTGCTAAACTTTTAGGCAGAATAAAAGAAGGATGGTAACGGGATCATAGCTCGTGTTGGCTTTATGGATATGTACATGCAGAACGCTTCTGGTTTTAGGTCTTTCCCCTTTTTGTGAATTGCCTCCACTCCTGTGGAGGAACAGGGGCTGCGAAGAGGAAGAGAAGACTAATTTTGTGGGAGATAAAGCTTGCGACGATCTCTTTCTGTGAAGCTTTTTGTCCTGGAGCTGTTAGAATTTGAGCCCCTGGCTTCTGTTGTGGTCTGAACTTTGGCTACTTGCTGTATATTGGGCCTGTACCACTTGTTAAAGCAGTAGGTGAATCTTCTGGAGGAAGGGGATCATCAGGACGTATGTGTGGGGTGACACATCTAAGGTAGTCTTAACCAAGCCTTACAGGTGTCATCAAATGAAAGTCTCTGCTTCCAGCCTTTCTTTTCTCTTGTCCATATGGTGACACAGTTGAGAGAGCAGGAAAAACATCAAGCAAAAAGATAAAAGCTCTCCCCCTTTTTTATGTAGTTTTCTGTGGGCATTTGTCCCTGAGCCAGGTCACTATGAAGTCTGACAAATGCTTGTTCCATTGCTGTTTATTCAAGAGAAGTGGCAGAAGTGTATGGCTAGGAGGAGGACTGCCTCTTAGCCATCCTAATCTATGGATTCAGGATGTGATTTAATACAATAGACTCACAGCTATTCAGGCAACATATCCCATGCCCCATTTTATTCAAACACTAGATATACCTCATTGGAAAGGGCTACTGTGAAGCACAGACTAGTATTTGGGCAGATCAGTTAAGTACTGATTCCTTTTGCTCATCTATGTTGGCTTCTGTTAAGAAGTTTACTTGTATAACTATATTGACAAAGGCTTAATAGAGTATTTATGTTACGTAATGTGGTTGAGTCTCAATTAATCTGCAAAATATACATGATAGGCTTTCCCGAGGTAATTCCAATTAAGGTGAGCTACAACAGGGTTCTTCAGTAACATCACTGGTTTTTAACCTTGTGTCTGCAGATGGAGGAGGAGGACCTAAGTGAAAGAGGATTGCCACAAATTGCTTCAATCATGAATAGAGTTAGAGACTTGAAAAACAAATACAGAAATGAAGACAATATCACAGATGAACTTAACTGTACTAAAATCTCAGCTGATACAACAGGTATGTGTTGTTACTCTATTGTCACTTATGCAACTGATCTTAATGGCTTTTTTACTCTTAGTCTAGGTTAACTGAAAGGATTTAAGATTTAGCATTTCTTCAATATTAACGACTGCGAAATGCATTTCATCTCTCGTTGTTTCTTTAGTTAACTGTGTTGCTCTAATCTTGTGTGTAAAAAAAACAAAACAACCAAAATAAAAAAAAACAAACCCCAGAAAAAAACCCTCACTAGTCGTCTTACATGAAAGTTTGTAAAAAGTGTTTCCTTCTGTTTGTTTGCTGCAGTTTTAATCAATCTCCTTTGTTATTTTTGTTATTTTTCTGTCAGATAACTCTGGAACTTTTAATCAAATAATGATGACAACAAATAATCCAGAAGATTGGCTGTGTTTTTTACTTAGGCTAGAGAAAAAGGGTATTCCTCAGATGGATGTTAGCCTACTGAATAGACTCATTGGTCGTTACAGTCAAGCAGTGACTGCGTTACCTGCAGAAAAGCATAGTCAAGATGAGAGCTATGCTCGCATCCTTGTGAGATTTGCTGAGTTGAAAGCGTAAGTATAAATTTTTAATTTTCAATATAAGAACTCATCATTCAGAATTCTGAATTTGAATGATAAAAATAGTTTGGTTTTGTTAGTAGTTTCTGCAACAAATTATCATTTTGAGTAGGATGTTTTTGTATTGACTCCTTGAAACTCTGAGCAGCTTTGGCTAGTCAGTTTATCTGTTGTCTCCACAGTACTTGCATTTTTTTGTATATGCTAATAAACATGATTGTTCAGAGCTATTTGATTCAAAGATGTTAACACTTTTTTCTAGGTTCCATGTGTAAGGTACATGGGGAAATAGCAAGAGACCTTTTTTTTCACTTCAGCTCAAAAGAAGCTGCATGGGTAAAATGTGATGTAACTTTGGGTAACTGTAATCTGTGTATTAAACTGTGTATGTTGTAAGTTAGGATTAATTTCCCTGCGGACTTCTATAACTGATTTGGCTGTGAGGTAGACAATTTGCTATTATCTAATGCATCTAGTCAAACCATAGTGGTCTATCCTTGTCTAGTCTGCTTTCTCCTGTGCTAGGAAAGATGCGTCCCAGCTACATTAAATAGCTGCCTTAGGTTAGGAAGAATGTCTCAGAACATCATTCTGTACTTTCATACTTATTAAATTAGTTTTGATTGTGGCCATTTATTGCTTTATTCAATCCAAATTTGAACAGTGTCATTGTTCAGATGTTTTCAGACATAATTTGGGACAGGGTTATAATTTGACTTCTTTTGTCACTTGAAATACCGTGACAGTGAATATTTTGAAGAGCTGCATTTTAACATTGTAGCAATCCTTAACAATTAAAGTTGAGCAGGTGATCTTCCAGTGAATACAGCTAGTCTTCTTCTGTTTCTTGTGTGTCTTCCCGTTTGACTTTTTGGCAGGTGGCTTGATCTTGCAGTATAATATGGTCTACTTCTTTGTACTGTCATTTTCATGGATCTTGCTGTATCAGTGTTTACTAAAAGCATACAATGGAAGTAATCTGTTGAATCTACTGTTGAGAAACAAGCAGGAGTGAATAATGACCTGCTGTGAATCCTTAGTATCTTGAAGAGGTAAGCTGTTTTTGTGGGAGTGAGTAAAGCATATCTTCCATGAGTAAAGACCTCCTGTCTTTAAAGATACTGAGAGATGTTCTTGTTCAAAGGTTAGTTTCTTTTCCTCGGAACAGAAATTGCGTAACATAGGCTTCTAGCTCATGCTTTCCAGAATTTCTTTTCCAGAACGGTGCTTGGATGCTATTATCAAGTCATACCTGTTATCTCATTACGTACAGTAGGAGTTTAAGTTCAGAAAGATTATTTCCTACCTCCCTAATAACTTTAAAACTCTTCGACCTCTTTCCACTTGGTCTTTAAAACATGGTTTTAGAGGTGGATACTTCTTAAATGGATACTAGAACTGTGTATTGTATTGCAGAAAGCAAAACTGAAGGCACTGTCAGTAGCCTGTTAATGCTAGAATGCATGAATATTATTAACAGTTTTAGTTGTGGTGTCCCACTGAAAAGTCTTTAGTTGCTTTACTGCTACAGCCTTTAGGGACCGTCTTGGGAGAGTAGTCTATCTTGTTTCACCATTAAAATGCACTCTCCATAGCTATACTAAAATACCTTCTGCTTTGGTAACCAGCATTACTGTAGAATCTACCTAGCTCACTGGGTAGTTCAGATCTGCTCTTTTTGTCTTCTGCTTCATATTTTTAATTGGCAAATACCATCAGTCATATGTTTCCTGACTTGCTAATGAAAATGATTTTTAAAAAAAGATGAACAACCCTCTCCCAAACATCTCTTGAAAAGTGTACCCACCAAAATCTGACATAGCATCAGTCCCAATGGAATTTTGCTGTAAGTATCTCCCTAAATGGTCCCCCATCTGAAAATTACTTTCAGAGATTAGCCAGCTCTTAATAATTTATTACAGGCTAATGCTTTCTCATGCATTGTGGTGTATAATATAAAGTCAATTATTTATATGAAACTACATTTATGAACTACATGTGTAACCTCACCAAAACATTGACTGATTGGATCTGAAAAACAACAACAATGTTGCTTGTCTGTAGTTTTTGGAGACTAATGTTAAGTTAATCAGTGAGTGGTTATTTGGATCTTTTGTGTTTGGCATGTTCACTCGCTCGCAATTTTCTTGGTGTTTGAGATTTCCCTGGTGTTTCAGACTCATCTTCTCTGTTCCTGGCTGTCAGTTTGTCTAGTACTACCTATTTTGTCTCTGCTCAGCTTTAGCTTCTGTTAAAGAAAATCCTCTCATCTCATGACTTCCTAGAGTGCCGATTTATTTCTTTAGCTCTTGCAAGTAAAGTAGCACTTTGATACGTGGTTGCTCTGATGATACTGCCTTTGGTGGTAGAAGAAAGGTGCTCTTCAGTAGAGTTCTGTTTGCTGTTCTCCCAAATGTTCCACCTAACAGGAGAAGCAAGTCAGAGCATCGCAAACTTCAGAGGCAGTGACAATGGCTTGAGATTTTAGTGTCTATTGGCATTAACACCGTTTTCTTCTGATCAAAGTTGGATTATTCCATTCTTGGCACTAGACCTGTCTTGTCTTGGTACATTCTCTAGCCGGAGCCTGACTATGCCAAAACTTTTTGACCTGTTATGATACTGAGGTTGTTTGAAGAAGCCCTAAATGTACTCTGAAACAGGCAAAGATGAACAGCCAGCTGCATCTGTGATTGATTATCTGTATCACATGTTAACCATGCCAGGCCTGCTTTCATGTGATGCTTCTGGCTGTAGCACAGTGCCACCAAGTGTGTGACACTTGATGCCTGTTGCTAATGTTGGGTCTTGTTCTGCATATTGCTATCCAAGTTGTTGCTGCTTTCTACATAACTTAAATTTTAACATGCCTTTTGAAAGTGAATGTAATTCACGTGTTACAGCTTAATTTGTGTTACTCTGACTTTGCCTGCAGATGGGTTATTCTGTGCCTGTCTTATTACTTTGGATGATCAGAGCTGAGTTTATTAAACTTACTGGAGTCCAGTAACATGCCTAAACTATGATAGAGACTTTCTCATTCTTAATTCCACAGAATTCTACTGGAAATATGTTCTTTTTAGCTTTCTGTGTTGTATTTTTCTGTACTTATTTTTTAAGCCATTGTCATAAATTTTTCACCATCCCCACTTCTAAGTACTACCTTTGCTTACCTGTTGAACCAGGGTGGAATTTTGGAAGAAATTCCTTTATTTCTTGATTGTGGATTTTGCTAATAAATGTTAAAAGAACTTTTTTTTTCATACTAAAAATGGGGACGGAGTCCTTTGAAATGCGATGTTAATTTATTTCATAACGATATAGATTCGGGCCTTTTCTATCTTGACAAGTATTTACTTTAAGCTGTAGATCCTCTGGAATATTTAAATGTTGGTGTACTGTGTGCAAGCATCTCCGTTGTCCGATTTAGCAATCTATGGCTGAATGTAAAACTAAGATTAAAAATTAATAAAAGTAAAGGAACTATTAAATGTGAAGTATCTTGTCTGGACTTTGTTGCACAATCTCTACTTTTTTGAAGTATACCATGTTTGCCATTGCTGCTTCTGGTGTGTCTGCAGAAAACAGACTTAAATCCACCTTGTGCTACCAAATTTAACTGGTAAGACTGTGTTGCCTAGGAGTATGGGGGAAACAGAATGAATTCCCTACATCTTATAAGGAGTCAATGTTCCCATAGAACCCTTGATAAAGGTAGCTATTGGATAAATGCTCTTGTTGTGTCCTTGTTTTCTATAAGTATGGTGTTATAGATGTGCCAACAGAAACAACTTCCTTTAGTGACCTACATCTCTGCTAAGGGAATCTGACAATTTGGGTGCAGTTGCAGAAGCTCTTCAATGTAGAAAAGCTCATAACATCTAGTAAAATTTTGGTGTTCAGTATTGCTTTAATGTAATGGATTGGAGACTTTGTGACCATATTGCTGCAGAATATAACTAACAGTGTATATAATATTTCTTCGACTTGATTAATACGATACATTTTTCCACATTTGGTGTTTCTAAAGCAATCTCCTCCCTGTCCCCCTGCCTTGCAACCTCCTTCATATAGGAGTGGATGCATCTAGAAGAACAGAGATTTTTCTCTGGATAGTGTCAGCATGTAGCCTGGAAGGGCTACAGGTGGGTGTTCTGTACGGGTTAGTGGGTGTTCTGAGGGAAAATATATAGGTATTTTGAGGAATAATATAAGTAGTGACAAAGAATGAGTCCTTAATCTTTCTCTTCAGGTTTGAGCACATTCTGGTTTTTGGAAAGGGTCAGCTTGATATCTTTCAATTATTAGCTTTTTAAGACTCTTAGCTTATTAGTACTTCACTAATGGCACTAAGGAAGAGGAAAAACTTCAGCTATAAAGGGATTGCTTTTCCAGAATTATCTAAAGCCATCATCCAGCACATGGAACTTCATCCTTGTTACTCCGGCTCTTCACCTTGTGTAACTACTGATGTGCTGTCTTTACAGTCTTCAAGATCCAGAGGAGGCACGGGACCAATTTCATCTGGCCAGACTGAACTGCAAGAAATTTGCTTTTGTGCATGTGGCTTTTGCACAGTTTGAACTATCACAAGGTGTGTAGAAAAACTTGTTTGGTGTTGCTGTTCTGTGTTGTTTTAGGTTTTGTTGTTCTAAACTTCTGCTCTGTTACATAATTTGCGAGGAAACTGATAGCTGTTAAATCAGAAAAAGAAAAATCTGGATTTTCTTTTTTGATTGAAATTTAACAGGAAAGTGTGTTCATCTTTAATGAAAAAATGCACACAGTTCTTAATAGTTTTTTCTTTTTTTAGAAATAACTTTCAAACAAGATGAAAATTGGCAGTGATTTCTTTGTTCTTTTTAGCTTAGGTCTTACAGTGGAAGGTATGAATAAGGCTCTTGCTGCGTTGAAAAACGATGCTCAAATTTGGGTGGTAATTTCCCTCTAGATACCTTCAGCTTGCTTGTGGAAGAAATTCTGGCTCCTTCCAAAAAGCAACTGCAGATTCTTTGTGTGTGGTGGGTTTTTTTTTTAACTAAACCAAAATATGCTGTAAATGTGTAATTTGATCCAATTAAGTTTTCCCCTCTGCCACTCAGGCTCTTAAGTAGTTAGCAATTGGATTTTAATTGATTCTTCTGTTTCCTGTTCCATTGTTGAACATTCATGTTGGGACAGTGGAGATGGTTAATATCTTCTGTTGCTTCATAAATGGCATGGACTGACTTTTTTGACAGTATCATAGATGCCATGTTCCAGTCAGTTGGGGCAGGGGGGGGTCATCAGTATTCAAAATAGAATGGTAATCTTTGTCATATGGTGCCATACGGCAGTGTTTTAGGCAAGCCATTCTAATATGAGTGTGATAATGTCTTTTAAAAATTCTGGTTCCCTTCTTTAAGGGATGCCTGAACTATCCGTTCCTGGTAGGGATAGTTGCACTGACAGCAATCTTTCTAAATTAATATATCCTGTTCCTTGGTGTACTGGGTCTGGCATGGGTTGGGTTAATTTTCTTAGCAGCTCATATGATGCTGTGTTTTAGATCTGTGACTATAACAGTGTTGGTAACACACCAGTGTTTTAGCTGTTGCTGAACAGTGCTTGTGCATTGTCAAGGATTTCTGTTTCTTGCTTGGCCTCTCCTCTGCCCAAAGGCTGGGGATGGGCAAGAGGTTGGGAGGGGACGCAGCTGGGACAGCTGACTCGGATTGACCAAAGGGATATTCCATGCCATAAAGCATCATGCTCAGCAATAAAAAACTGGACGACAGTCTTTCCACAGTAGCAGTTGCTTGGAGACTGGCTGGGCTTCGGTCTGCTGGTAGGAAGTGATGAATGATTGCCTTCGCATCACTTCGTGGTTTTTTTCCCTTTTTCCTTCACGTATTAAACTCTCTGAGTTTTTTCTTGTTTTCGCTCTTCCAGTTCTCTAGACTGTTCTAGACTGTGTAAATCATGCTCTAATATATCTAGAACAATAGGTCCTCAATACTTTGGGCCAGTAGTCCACAAAGTTCACCTTGGCTTATGTCAGTTCTTTCCTATTGTGTGTAGGGGAAGTGGCCCTGGTACTTGGTAGCAGCGTTGTGCTGCCTACCCAAAAATGTTTAGCGAATACTGTATACTTACCAGAAAAGATAATAAACCAGTAATACTTCAATAATAAAGATATTGTCATAGAAGTGTAATCAAGAAAACCTATTGTGTAATTTAAGTAAAGTGTAGAAATGTTACTAGTGGTTACCAATGACTAAATTCATCCTTCTATCACAATCACTTGTGAATTTAATTACTGCGTAGCTATGGGATGTGTTAATGCAATAGTTTCTTTTACTTTGACAGCAAATAGTCAACCTGAAATGAAATCCTAATCTGAAAGGAATAAGCCACTTATAATTGGCTTTATTTTATCTCCAGTGTGCTCTCTGATTTGTATCTGTTACCCTTGAGCTGGTCTATTTGAGATTTGGTAATGTGTGGAGCTATAGTGTCCCTGCTGTGCGCTTCAAAGAAGATTAATGTAACATGTGAGTTGTATATTGTTATTTTAAAAGTGCTGTTAACTTTTTCACTGAGTGTGTCCCGCTTAAGCCAGAGGGAAAGGAGAAGGGTAGTGCTTTGTTACCTCCTCATCCTGGTCATTTCAGCAGTGCTTTGGCACACCTGCCAATTATTTCTGGATTAATCTGTGTTTCCCTCTGTATTAAGAAGCAAATGTTAATTATACATTCATTTCCCTGTCTTGAGCAAAATTGTGAGCTAAAGCTGAAGTCAAAATTCTGAAATTATGGTTGGCAAATTGATACTGTTTTTTTTATAAACTGAATATTCATGCCTGAAAATGGAGTGACACAATAAAGGTGGCATTCTGGTTTGTTTTTATTTAAATGCCGAATACAACTTCATTTAAATAGGTCAGATGAGGAGCTGTCTCTTCCTTACTTTTGGTGTGCTTTGGGTAGAGTGCTTGAAGCAAGATTTGCTGTGAATTTGCTGTGAATTGCTTGGAACTCATGACCATAAATAAAACTCTGCTTTTGGCTATATAAAATGTTATGCCTAGGTGGATCATTCAGGCTTTTTGTATGTGATGAAGTGGACTCATTGAAACTCACAGATACTTCTGGCTTTACTTTTGTGCCTTGGTTCTTCATCTGTTAAGGGGGATGGAGCAGTTCATTTTTTACTTAGGTGTTTTGGTATCATGTTATTTCTTATTCAGTGAGGCAAATAATACTAGGAGGAATTACTTTTCATTTTGAGTAGCAGGTCTTGTTGAAGCAATGTGTGGTTACTCAATATAGCCAAAGATAGAATGCTGGTTAAGGATTCTTAAAAAGAAATACTAAGCCTATCCATTTGCTAAGGATTTGGGAGAAAAATAGTATTTGATTATAGGTTAAAAACCAAGTCATAACAAATATGCACAAAATAGCTTTAAATGAAATCATAGCCAATCTTATTTTGGCGTTTCCTTGCTTCAGTGTCCAACATCACTCATTTAATATTCTTAAAATAGGTTATTTAAGCGTAAGTTCCTAATATATACACCCCACTCCCCCCCAGTCTGAACTGCAGGCAACATTGACATCTAACTTCAGTTCTCAGTGGATTTTTGAGTGCTGGAGACATCATGGAGCTCTGAAATATACTATTATATAGTATAAGAAATAATTATAAATGTATGTGGCACCCGTAAAAACAAAGTGGTTTACATTTTGCTGCTTTGGAACTGAGGAAGAAGGGCATTTGGGACTTCAAGGGCATTAACAGCTGTAACAAAACATTGCATCATTTTGCCCTGATGCTCTCTAAACCAAGGAGAAGATTTTGGTTGTGGTGCACTTCTTTCCTTATTTGACTCTTACGGGTTTTTTAATAGCTGTATGTGTACATGCTTATATAGGTAAACTGATTGCTTTCAATACATTTTGTTAAAACACCTCCTCTTCCCCCCAGTTCTCTTCAATCTCTGTTTATGGCATTTAGTAATGTGTAAAACTAACGAAACAATATCCTTCCCTTTCACTCCTCTCTTCTTAACTGTAGTGCTTTCTGGAGTAGTGATGTTTGATTTAACAACAGCTGCTTTTAACTTTGATTTCTATTAAGTGCATTAAAGATGTTTTATAATGCATATGTAATAAGGTTTGTATCTGGTCAGATCTAAATGAAAGTCTATGAAGGTCGTTTTTCCTTGCTGATACTGCAGAAAAAAATGGATTTTAGAAGTTGTGTGGTATTTCCTTATGGTTCCTATAACATTAAACAAATACTGAGAATGCAGTTTTGTGAGTTCATAAAGCATATTTTGTGACTTGGTATTCAACTTCATGTGAAAAATTGACTTACATGATTCACTTGTAACTAGTTCCAGGCAGTATCCTTAAAGTGGATATCTAAGGGGGGAAGTGCCTAATGAACAATGGCTTCAGAGAATGATGCAAAGTAAATATAAGACAGCATGAATTTAATCACATCTTAAAAAAAAGACCACGTTGCCCCAGTGTAATTGTTTTCCTTTTCCTTGATTTCTAAGTCTGTGTTCCTTACTACTTAGGAAATGTGAAGAAGTGTAAGCAGCTCCTTCAGAAAGCTGTGGAGTGCTCTGCTGTTCCACTAGAAATGTTGGAAACTGCTCTACAAAACTTTCATTCACAAAAAAAGCAATTGCTTTCAGATGAGGAGAAGGAGAACTTAGCAGGTAATTGTAATTTCTTAAAATGTTGGTTGAGTTTATGCATGTTGTCATTCTAGGTTGAAAAAAATCTTTCTAATGTTTGTCCCTTGTAGATACGAAGTCGTAATCTGCTATTGTCCAATAAACAGTCATATTTATCTATATTATCAATCTTATTCCCTCAATATTCGGTTCCATCTTCAATGCAGTGACTGTAGTTTGCAGGAGCCATAGGATGGTAGATTCTCTAATTCTGTAGAGAGTGTTCCTCTGACTGTCATTAGGTATTTGTACTTAATAAATAGAGACTTACAGCTGAAAGTGTGAAATAAGAGCTACTAGTGGTAGAGAAGAATTAGAACTGAAACATACAGATTAAACTATACAGATATCTTAATTTGAGGTGTATCTTGTGACAGGCTGGTGAAGTCTGGCAGTTGTTTCAGTGAAGTCAAATCTAGGAAAAATAACCTGTTTCAACTTTATATTTTTACAAATGGACAAACCCCATGTATTTATTAGTACAAAATTGAAGTGCATGGCTGTATCATAAAACATAACTGATACTGGTTGCTGGGTATATAACTTCAATAAGGGAAGAGTTACCTCATGAAGTTTTGAAGAGATAAACTTGTTTGGAGTCGAATTGAGCAAAAAAACATGGTTTGACTTAAATAACGAAGTGCATGTAACTAACTCTTCCGAGAGTAGTGTCGAACACCTCCATATTTTTGTTTTGTATAAGGACAGAATTCGTGCAAAATAGGTCTGACTTCATTTCCTTAGGGTTATGTCTTCAGAAATGTAGTTTGAGATTTGGCTGGCTCCTGTTGAATGAGCCTTTGTGTGAAACACTAGCTGGGGGGGGAAAAAACCCCAAACATTTGGCAACACTTGCAATAATATTAAGTTATGGTATTAATTTTTTAATAAACTTTATTTTTGGTCCTATTCTGCTTATCACTAATCGGAATAGACATCGTAAGTGTCACAGCTGATGTACTGTGCCACAGAAGAATATCCTGTGGAATATCCTTCTTGGATTGTACAATTTTTATTCGGTATGATTGGATTTACCTGCTGCAAAGCTCAGGGAATAGCTATGAGAGAATACATGGCAAAAGCCTGTCAGCCATTTAGGGAGCAGTGAACTTTGGGGGAAGAGTAGGCTCATCTAGTTTTTCATTTATGTGAACTTCTAACATTAGGTATTTGAAAAATGCTAAGTATTAATTCAGCTATTTAAAGAGAAAAGTTTAAAAGGCAAATAACACTAGACTTGAAATATCTCAAACTGGGGGATGTGTGTGGCCTAAATCAGTGAATTTGGCTTTAAGTGAATTTGTATGGTCCTTCTGGAGCAATAGAGACTGTTTTAATGTATAGGCATTTAAGTCTTGTCTGTTTCGTATTTCCATTTAAGGAGCTGCTTTTGAAAGCTTTTTATTTGAAAACAGGAACACTGTATATGTAAATTCATTTCTTCACAGCTTCAAAAGATTGTTCAGAAAGATTTTGACGAGAGTTATACGCAGTTATAGTGTAGTGATGCAAATATAAACTGCAGCAAGTCTAGAAGCCTTTGGTTTAATTCCTTTTTCCCCTCTTTCATTATGAAAGAACATTTTTTTTCTTTTGAAACAAATACAATCTGCAGTATTATCTGAATAATTCTAACTAATTTACCTACAGGATCAAGTACACAAGAGTCTGGGCTTCAGAGCATAGTTGGAAATTACAGAAGCATAAAAAGGAATGATTCTGGTGAAAATTCTTCTACTGTTACCAGACTTTTGCTTGGGTAATGGCTTATTTTATTTCTTATTTGATTTATTAAAATCATTTAAACCAAAACCAAACACTACAGTGTTGTGTGGTTTTTTTTTTTCCCTTGCCTTCAGGGAGGAGAAGTCACAGGAACTTGATGCTCTAGTTAATTACCACAATCCATTAAGACCGCTAAACAAATCTAACCAGGTAGAACATGTAACATTTTGCTTCAAAATCTTAAACTTTTCATTCTGCTTTACACATCTGATAACTTTCAGTTTGCTCTTAGGCCTGCCCCTTTGGGAGGGTTCCTGTTAAACTAGTAACTGATGCTGGTGATGATGTGAAGACGATGGATGTCCCACTTACAGCTAGTCTTATGAAGAGGTATGGTTATTGGGTTCACTACAGCACAACAGATTTTAATAATCCTTTTCAACAGTGTTTTTATTGGATAGTGGAAATGTCAGATGTTAAAAATGTTAAAATTGATCTAAAGATTATTGACAAATAGTCATTATAATTGCAATAGATATTGTAAAAACGTACCTCCTGTCTTACTATTCAGATTCTTTGTATGAGAGCGTGCAAAGATCAATTTGTTGTTCTGGCTAATTAGTAGGCTCAAAAGAAATGGAGACTAAGGCAAAAATAAATTTTGTTCAAAATAACTTTACATTTGTGTATTCCAGTTTCTAAAATTAGATATAAGGCAGTCTTGTAACTTCGAAAAGATTTTTGAATTCTCATTTTTAACATAATCCATATGATAATGATTATATTAAGAAAGTGGTTATGCTCATTTTATTGTGAATAACTGTTTAGCAGTGGAAGAATCTGCCAACTAAAATAGTACTTTGCTACATGTTACCTGACGGTAGTGTAGCTTGAAAGTAAACAGAGGAGAAAGCTCCCTCCACACCACCCCCAGTCAAGCCTGTTATGTTAACTTTCTTCCTCTTATTGCTGTGTGATTAAATTCATGCAGAAGTGGGAACTTTCGGGAGAAATATGTAACCAAAGAGTAAAAACTGCATATTTAGCCTCTCAAAAGTTAGTTAAAGCCCAATATTCTGAATCTGTGAAAGCAGTGGGATAAGGTATTTCCCATAATATTATTGTTCTGTAAGTATTTCAAAATTTACTTTGGAACACACTATTGGGGTTTATGATCTTAGCCGTAGCTTATTACTCTTCTCTATGGAAGACAACTAATTAAATCATCTGTCATTTCATAGGATGATGGTAGCATTGTTACAGATTTTTTGTATTGTTTCTCACTTGGCTGTCAGAGTGGACCTGCTTTTCTGGATATTTGAAACTTGTAGCCAAAAATCTTCACACAACTGCCTTTTTCATCTGGTTCACAAAAGGCAATCATTACATTATATGTTGGCATGTGATGTAATTAACAATGTTATTTCAATAGGCAAATATCCAGCTCCAAATGTACAACCTTCATTGCACCTTTTCCACCATCAGAACCAAAATCTAGTGGGGGTGATTCATATGACCTGGGAGACTTACAGGTAACTTAAATCTTTTTAAAATAGATATGAGGAACTCTACCTGGCTCTCCTATGGTATTAGAAAGGAAAATAACAACACTTTTTTCAATTCAAGAGAGAAATAAGGTAGAATTTTCCCTTATGTTAAGTAATCAGTTGTGGATAGAAACGTTCATTGTGGCTTTTAAATTTGAAAATTGTTATGCATAATCAGGCATTAAGAAAGAGCTTTCTCTAACAATACATCTGATGGGAGAAATGAGGGGGGTGTTAAAAATCTGTCATGTGATTTATGAAGAGGGGATAAACAGATTTTATCTTGACTACAGGAGCACTTTCAGCTCTAGTCATGAGTTTTATCATGGGAGGTACTCTATTCAACGAAGTCCATTTAATTGAGTTCATTAAGTGCTCTGTGGAGCTGTCAATTATGGCTTTTGACAGAGATTAGTTTCGAGCTATGCCTTGCATTTTCATGTCCTGTGTCCCCATCCCCCGAAACAAAATTCGAGAGTAGAAAGCATTTAGGTCTTTGTTATAGAATCTGTATGATGGAAGTTCAGAATGTTGATGGATTTAAAAATAGTATCAGTAATGCTCGTCTGTGTACCCTGCACTGTTTTCTGAAGTGTATTTGCTTTGTGGTGCGTCAGTCATTAATTATCGTAAGAAAGTGTCTTTTGGAGAGTATGCTTGGGATCTCCTTTGATTCTTTTTAAGATGCTTTTTGTTTTCTTTAGTACTTACAAGAAAATTCTTTACAGTTGCAGATGTTGGATGAGAACAGGTTAGAAATGGCTACCAATTCAACTGTAACTCTCAAAACCAAAATGGATACAAGTCTTGCAATGAAAAGAGAAGGTAACTATTAATATGTGATGTTTTAGTAGTTTGAAATAAAATAAGCATTGAAAATTTGCTGTTCTGCATTTTAAAAAAATATATTGCTAAATAAAAATATTCTTCAAAAAGTGAAAAAGTTGGTCTGTGTGGAATTGAGGAGCATTTAATTAAAATTGGCTTTTGAGTGGTACCTGTGAAAGTAGTAAAAAAAAAAAAGCAACCCCCAAACCAACAAACCAACAAAACCAAAACAACAACAACAAAACCCAAACAAAGCAAAACAAAAAACCCCAAAAAATCCGCACTGCAACACTATCCAAAAGTGTGGAGCGCTGGGCTTGAAGTAAAATGCCAATGTTTGCTGCTAATTCATTATGTCCTTAGCTCTTACAATACACATAACATAAATAGGCATTGAAATAGCAACAGTGCAAGGTTTCAGACTAAGACTTGCCAGCCTGAGCGTAGAAAAATGTTGCCAGAGTATCAGATAACAGTGCTAGTTTATACCAAAGAAAAGGTGGATGTTGGCTGAGAGAAATTCAAACTAAGGATTATAATGTTCTTGAGGGGTAGTCTGTTTAGATTTTTTTGAGACAGACTCATATTATAGTAGTTTGCTTCTCCTGTGACTTTACTTGTATATGCTCCTAGCTTACCCTATAGATGCCATAGCTCTAATTTCTTTTGTTCAAGTTTAATCCGTGATTGTTTTGGCTGCAGTAAGCCTAAAAAGGTGAGACCACGACACTGTCTTTCACTTGAAAAAAGTGCAAAGCTCCCACAATTCTCTCTGAATACAGAACATCCGCGTCATCTCTTGCTTTCAGCACTCTGCTGTCTATCCTGTTTACCTGTTAGTACATGAAACACTAGGTAGCTTTTTCTGCTGCCGTTTATGTATCAGAGACTATTTCTTATATTAGGATTGTTCACATATCTGAGTTATTTGCTTCTGCTTTGGTCAGGCTTCTCTTGTCTTTTTCTTGGTTTCATCTGTTAAGTGTCTGTTGTCTTTGGTCAGCTTCACTGCCCCATGCACATTTACTTCAAAATGGTAAATTTATGTCACTCTGGGCATTTCTTAACTTGTTGTAATATAGTGTTTTCCGCGCCTGAGTTTTACAACAGCATATGCATGCATCTTAATCTTTGGGCAAAGTATAAAATAAATAAGATTCTTTAATGTCATAGTTATTTTCTTATGAGGTTTCCCAAAAGTATGAAACACTTTGTCAAAAAGCAAATTGTTTGCCCCCTTTTTTCTGATGTCCTGTAAAAAAAACCTGAATTATTTTCACCATTCTTTCCATATACTCAGTGTAATCTAATTTATGAACTTGTACCGCAGGGATCCTTTGTTCGTGTGAATGACACTTGTGCTAAATAAATGTGTACTCTTTAGAGGCTTATTAAATTTCAGTGTCAATCAAATGCACTGTTACACTTTTGATTACTGTAAATGCTCTTGCTTTAAACATGGTGTTTCAGCCTTAACTGTATTGTTCATTGTGCTCCTTGATTATCGGTAAAGATGGCACATGATGATGCTTCTGTCTAATTTTTAAAAATTTTATTTTTTAAAGAAATCCAAGTTTTGCTGTCATTTGAATGGCTGAGATTCTTATTGCATTATTAGCATACTTTTGGGGAATGATTTTTACCTTATTTTAGGAACAAACGTTTTTGGTGTATTCCAGAAATAACCTAAGCTCTACTTAAGCATTTATCTAATGCATGGAATTTGACTACTGTGTGAAGTCACCTCATGACATAGAAATAGGGGTGGCGTGAGACCACCTTACATTGTGGTCTTTCTGGGAAATGTTATAAAAAACTCAGGTTTATAGCAAGTGTTTCAGGGCTGGTAAAATTTAGAAGGTTACTACTAATGACTTAGCACCAACACTGTGGAATATGGAATACGTGTAGTAATCTTTTACAGTTGCTTGCTACTTCTGTGTTTCATCAGAAATCTAGTTCCCTAGATGACTTTCTGATTT